TTTCAGATATGAACACATATCTTTATTTTATTTATTTATTTTTATGTGGTGCTGAGGATTGAACCCAGGGCGTCACACATGCTAGTCGAGCACTCAACCACTGAGCCACAACCCCAGCCCCAGAAAAAAGCTCACTTTTGAGACAGAATCTTACATGACATGTTGGAAACTTGGTCCCCAGTGGGGCATTGTGAGAGGTAGCAGAATCTTTAAAGAAGTAGACTCTAGTGAGAAGTCATTGAGAGCAATGCCCTGAAAAGGATTAAGGTAGATTATGTCAGTTTGCTCTGTTGCCCAGGCTGCCCTTGAACTCCTGGTCTTAAGTGATAATCCTGTCTCAGCCTCTCAAGTAGTTGGGACTAGAGGTACATACCACTGCACACAGCTAAGCTATTTTTTAAGCAAAAATTTAAGAAACCACTTGATCAGTGAGTCTCCTAAAAGTGAGTTGACAGTTGTAAAGACCAATCCATAATTGCCTGATTTCCCTTCCATTCATCCTTTCTTCTTTCCCACTTCTCCTTGTGCTGTGTGTGTGTATATGTGTGTGTGTGTGTGTGTAAGACCAGTCCTGATTTATGATGAAGGTTAAACCAGACACACATGCGCGCATGCACACACACACACACACACACACATTTTGTCCCACAAATGTCCAAACTTTGGCTTGTCCAGTCTGTACACACTGGCGCTCCCCTCTCTACCAGCATAGCTGGTAGCAATAATCCCTCATTCATTCACCCCAGGATCAAAGCAGGTAGTCCTTGAACTACCTGAAGTTAAAATAACACCACAAGCAGAGGGACAGCTTAGAGAAGAAAGTCCTGCTTTGGGATAACAGAAAACCCTGCTCAGTCCCAATCCCTCCTTCCTAGTCACCTCCCTGGGGTAGCTAGTGCAGATTCCTTGAAGGTAGAGGTCAAATACAAAACATGTGCCTGTATTTTGAAAGTTGAGTGGCTAAGAGCTCAGAATATGGAATCAAGACCATCTGATGACAAACACTATAGTCACCCCTTACTAGCTGTGGTATCTTGGACAAGTCACTTGACTCTGAGCTTCAGTTATCTCACCAGAAATATAAGCACAGAAGGAGTAACCAATAGGGTTGGTGTGAAAATTCAATGAGATAATCTATGTCACAGCCCCTAGCAAAGGGCCAGGCACACAGGAAGTACACACTAAGTGTTAATTGTTGCAAACATCTTCATGGGTATTAACCCTCTCTCTGTGGTGTCATCAGGGTCTACAAAAGCAGGAGAGTAAAGTCAAGAGACTGGCTCTGGAGTCAAACAGACCTGGCTTTCAATCTCTATCATTCACTGGCAAGGTGACCCATCTCTGAGTACTCACCATTGCTGGGTTACAGTTTACTCCTCTGTAAAATGAGGACAAAGTGGTTTTGTGAAATACAAGCAATGTGCAGGAAAATTCACAAATACAAGTTTTCAGCTGGAGGAACTTTCACAAACTGGATAATAAGTACCCAGACAGAAGAACAGAATGTGATTAACACTTCAGAAAGCCCCCTCAGGCACTCTCTCCATCGCTAACCCTGACAAACATCTTCTAACAAGACCAAATCCTGTCTTCTAAGATCATGGATTTGGTTTGCTTATCGTTGAACTTTATAAATCATAGTGGGTTTTAAGGACTGAATTAAGAGTAATAATTTTAATGTGGTGTCTGGCACCTAGTGGAGGCACAAAGTTGTCAATATTCACAGGCACCATAAACAGCCAGCATGACTATAGCTTGTCTAGATATTCACACTAAAAGAGAAATGTAGTGTTTCTTCCTACCCTGCTAATCATGGCAGATGGAAGGCAGGGAAGATCCACTGGGTCCCTTTGAGACTGGTTAAAGAAGATTGCTAGGTGATCAGGTATATAGCTTCTCTTCTCTCAATAGTTCTTGAGCATGTTACCAGGCCTGCTCAAGACTGGGGCTGGGGGTGGTTCAGGAGGAATATGGGTTGAGAAGTGCACGAAGACTGTGTCCCCCAAGAACTTGCAGTTATTGAAGCTTCCCCAATTACTGACTGAAAATTCCCAGGGTCCATCAAAATGGAAGATAATCCAAAGATACCTTCAACTTATATTTTCTTTTCTGAAGTGCAGTCCATATAAATTATACATAAGTAAATTTAAAAATAACTTTGATTTTGGAAGGGAAGCCAGGAAATTCAATGGCTTTTCCTAGCCACACAGGTCTCTTGTGTTTGGGCTTTGCATATTTGACTTGACAGAGTGCCCTTAGAATGTGGGCAAGTCTTCGACGGGAGCCCATGAATGGGGGTCTGTTCTCCTGAATCTGGTTTAGCTGGGGCTGACCTGCAGGGGTTAAGAGGATGCTAACTAGCAGTCAGTAATGAAAGGCCACTTTATAGGTTTCCCACCATTTTCAAAGCTGTATGTGTGTCATTTAACATGTCCAATAAGAACCTCAGCAGGACTGGACTTCTTTCACGGAGCCCTCCCCTGAGGCAGCAGAGTTCGTGAGAAACTTGACTCTTAGCTATGATAAGAGGGGCCTTGAGGGAGACAGTCTTTCCTTCAGTTGCTCAATCACCAGAAAAATATTTGCCTAGCCCACACCAACCTCCATGAGGCAGGCAACATCTTCAGAGTCAGGGGATTTGTGAGATTCTCACAGGGAAAATGCAACAAGAAGATAAGGGAAGAAAACCACCTATCTGTTTGGCTTGTGAAGGCTGGCTTGGCCTAGAAACAGGGCCAAGCCCAAGCTCCCAGACAGAAGCTTCACAGAATTCAATCAAAGTAAAGTCAGAAGGCATAGAAAACATGAAAGCAGCCACACAGCAGGATTCCAAAAATCTTGGAGGCTATAGGAGAGGCCTGCATTCAAAAAACATGTCAGCCTTTGGCATTATCCACACAAAAGTAATTAATACCTACATAGCATTCACTACTTGCTACCTGACACACTTTATCTCATTGACTCCCTCAAAGCACTCTCCTATAGTTAAATATTTGATTTTAGCAGTAAGGAAACTGAGGCATAAGCAGATAAAGTAAGATGCCCAGAAATCATACTGTTAAGAAGTAGTGGAACTGTGTTGGCATCATACTACATAGTTCTAAAGCTGTGTACCACACCATATCTCCTCTCTATGGTGATCCCTATGGTTTGAATATGACTTGTCCCCTCAGAAATTCATTTTAGGATTTAATGTCCTCTGTGACATATTTTGAGGGTGGGCACTTAATCTAACTATCATGCTTAGAGGTGAAACCTTTGGGAGATTATTGGGGACTAGATAAATTTATCAGGGTTGGAGCCCATGATTAAATTATTGGTGGCTTTATGAGAAGAGGGAGAGAGACCAAAGAACACACATATGCTCTCTTAGTCTCTTGTCATGTGATATCTGCACTGTCTTGGGATTCTGGCAGCAAGACAGTCATCACCAGATGTGAGCCCTCAAACTTTGACCACAACAATCTCCTTCCTTCATAATTTACCCAGTCTGTGGCATTGTGTTACTAGCAACAGAAAATGGACTACATACCCCATCTTTAGGATCAATACCCTATGATTCAAATCATAATTTCATTCATTCCAGCAATATTTATTAAGTGCCTCCCATAAGTCAGGCATTGAACTATGTACTTAAAAAGCAGTAATTTTAACAGACTAAATCCTGCTGCCATAGAATTCAGACTAAAGGGTGTGCAAAGGAGTCCAGAAGAATATATATAATGTGCTTGGTGATGACAAATGCTGAGAAGAAAAACAAAACAGGGTAAAATGACAGAGTAGGGGTTTCTCATTTTTACCACATCACCCAAACAATTCATGCCTTTCCACATGTGTACTTAACCCACAAGATTCTCTGAGAAAGTCAATTCATTTGACTGGAAAAATCATTCCTAAGAAAGAAGTAAATTCTGCTATGGAGAGTACATCAGATACACACCAGTGCTCTGTCCAGACCAAACAGGAGAACCAGAGTGATAGTATCTGGAAACAGGTGAGCTCTTTGCCCACAGGCAGAGGCCCCATGTGTTCACTTTGTACAAAGTGTCCCACTTGGAGACCCACAGGTCCTCCAATGGAAGCAAGACATTTAACTTGTGGGCTAGGTAACCGAAATAAAAAGCTCTTAAAATCAATCAAAAAAGGTAAATGGGAGCCATATTGATTCTCCTCTGGCAGGCAGGGGTGCCTCTATTAAGCATAAGAGGCACAGTGACTAGGGCCTGTGAATACTTGTAGCGGTCCACAGAAGTGATGTAACTTATTTCAAAATCAGAAGAAAAAGATGAATGTGATAATGATACCGATTAAAAAGGAATTCAGCTTGGTTTATCCTCATCTCATAACAAACAGCACAGTTATAAAATGTAACTTTTAATACTTTTATGGATCAAGGGCTCCATGAAGGCAGAAGTATCTGGGGTCCATGAGAGACATATTGTGGCCCCTGCCAGCTTAAAATCATACTTTCCTCCAAATCTGCATGCTTTGATATGCACATTGTGACATAACTCTGTTGAGCAATATGCATCCCTGACCCGGAGAAGGGTGGGAGAAGGATGTGGCAAGACCCTTCATTAGTCTCCCTCTGGCCCCTATCCTTGCTCACCAGATTATCCACTATTGGTTGAAAGGAGGCTGAGAGCATCAACCCAGGACATGTTTATCTTATCATGGATGCTTTGGTGTTCTTGCCCTCTGGCCAACAGCAAGAATAATATTACTGATTGATGGTAACAGTGAGTAGTCATGAAGCTCTTATTGTATGTTGAGCAGGGAACCTAGCACTGAATGCAGTTGAAGAAATAATGAAATAAGTGAACTAATTTGATTAGACAATGTCCATTTTTGCATTAAACTTCTAAGAAAAGTTATGACTTCTCACTAGGCAGTGTGACTTGCTTTTAGCAAACATACACATGTAGAATGCATTAAAAACTGGGGCTTACAGTGAAAGCTTGGACAGGAAATTGCAGCCTCCTCCCTCCTGAGATGCTCACCATTCCTCAGGATCACATCTTCACTCTGGCTTGAGGAGTTCAATCCTTGGGGCCTCTTGATATTGCTCAGAGCTCTTGAGAAGTGCTCATCTACGACACTGTTGATGTCTCCTTGGAAATAAGTGAAAATGACACACTGGGAATTCCATTCCGTCTTTATGGGCTTCTGACGATCTTTGGGCTGTTGGATGTCGGTCTTGTTCATTTCTGCCATTGTCAATAACACAGGTGATGGCTGCAAACCAAATACAAAAAGTCACTGGTACTATTTCATCAAGGGGTTTGGCTGTTGTTTAGTTGAGCACCATCCTTAAGGGCAAGCAATTTCTTCCTACCAAGTACAGGCTCTCACTAGAGCCCTGGGGAGTCACTGAGTTCCTGAAGGTCAACAACAATGCTGTGTTGGACTGTGAGAAGCTGAGGAGCTCAATCTGATCAGCGTTCAGGAAACAACCTAAAGTTCTACCAACAGCTGGAGGTGGCCTTCTCTTACAAATGAGAATTGTGAAACAACAGGACTAGAAAAGCAACAGGAGATGTGTCTGGAGGACAGTAAGTCCAAATAGCAATGTAATTTGCCTTCTGGTGAAGTTTCTTCTTCCCAAATGAATGAGCCAGGGTCAGCCCATAACTACTTAGAGACACAGGCTCCCCAAGAAAGGACTAAGCAATGGGTACTGGACAATTTCAGCTAGCATGGCAAACACTACTTTGCAGCATGACTATTTTAATGCAAGAGGATAAAACCCATGAAATTCTGCCCTAATCTATGTAAGATAGTGTCTTGCTTCCACCCAGACTCTGACTTAGAAACTTAACAATTATAAACAATATGAGCTCTAAGGCTTTCAGATGGATATATTCTGAGCCACATACAGATCTCAAAAAATGTGGGAATAAGTTGTAGTAACATTACTGGAAAGCTCCTGAAAGACCATAACCTTGTCAATTCTGTTCACTATCATATCCTCTGTATCTGGAACCATGCCTGGAACAGAGTGGATGCTCAATAGCTGTTTGCTGAATAGATTTCAAATTGGAACCCCTTGGTGGCATCAGCTGATCCCACCTTATGAGTTCCTTGAGGACAGAGGCTGTCCATCTGCACCCAATCCAGGACCCAGAACATGGTGAGCACTCAAGACATGCTGTGACCTTCTTTAACTAGGGAAGTAGTCTGTCTGAATGCCTCTTACCTGGAGCCACCCAACCTGATTTGCCCTGTGCTCTGACCAAAGATGTGTTTAGTCTATTCATTAACTCAATAATTGGGGTTGAATAAATTGTCTCCATCTCTAGTTTATGAGATCTTTGAGATTGGGCACTATTTCTTATTCATTTCTTTATCCCTAGTACCTAGCACAAAGTGGGTGATCAGTAAACAATGGCTGAATGACTGAATGTCATTTCATGCAGAGAAAGCACAACTCAAGGAAATTATAGCAGATTAGGAGTCAGAAGACCTGGGGTTTTCCTTGGCTATGTAATTTTGGGGTAACTGCATAGCCTTTCTGTGCTTCACATTACTCTTGGGTTTGGAGAATAAATAAAGGGTTTGGAAGAGTGTGAATTCTGCAGCCTAAGAAATGTCAATAGGTCACAATGGGAACATTAGGAAGGAATCTGGCAGTGAGCAGATTTTCCAAAAAGATCTTTCAGAGTCATTCTAGCCCCAGTCATAATTGGATTATGTTGTCTAGAGAAGCATTTGATTGAACATTACTGTTTTGTTTCTCCTGGTTGGTAGTCATGCTAAGCATAGCCAGGCATGACTTAAACAAAAACAATTCAATTGTATCTTTACTTCAAAAATCATGTGAACAACCACTTTGAAAAAGCATAGTTTCTTATGAATTATACTTTTCTTACTATATGACCCAGCATCCTTACTTTTAAGTATACAGGGTCAAGATAAACAAAAGCTATGTCCCCATAAAAACTTGTACATGAGTTTTCATAGCAGCTTTATTTCTAATAGCCAAAGTACCACTCCCCACAACAGCATGGAAGAATCTCAAAGCACATTGAATGAAAGAAGCCAGTCATGAAAGGCCACATACTGTATGGAACATACATTTACATGGAAGAAGCATAAATAATCTATAGTGATAGAAGTCAGAACAGTGGTTGTCTGTAGAATGGAGATTGACCAGGAAGGGGCATGAGGTTGATGGTTACTATGTGGACCATCATTTGCCCAAATTTATCAAAATGTACACTTGCGATAGGTGTACTTCACTGTAGGTAAATTATTCCTGAATAAATAGCACAAGTATACTCAGATACTAGGGTAAAAGAAATACAGCAAAGGTGTTGTGAATAAAGTAATAAAGTATAAAGTAATGATAAATGTAGAGACAGCAGCCATTTAAAGATACAGTTTATACAATTCCTATTCTGTTCCAAAAGCTATACACATATCTTCTCCAATCTTTATAACCCTCAAAGTAGGTATTATTATTCCCATTTTATGGATAAGGAAGGTAGAGCTTAGAGAAGGTGAAATAAACTACCCAGGCCACACAGCTAGGTAGTGGTAAAACTGGGATTTGAACCAAGGGTTCTCTGGCACCAATGTCTATCTGATTTTTATTACCTTTTACTGTCAACCCAATGATTGTGATAGTGTCTCCCCTTCCATGGGCCTCATTTTCCATATCTATCAAATGTGGGGACAGAATTGGCTTCTAATCTGTAGGGGAGCATGAGCCAGGACACTAATCCGGCCACATGGTTTCCTTCAGGGAAGGTAGGAATAAACTTTGTGCACTCCCTCATGGCTTTCCTTGAAGCCTCTGCCTCCAGCCACTAAAGACCAGCTAGGACCTCTGGAGGACTCACCCTCTTACTCTCAGAACTATCAGCATTCACTGCTCTAGGCTCAGGCTAGACCCAGTTCACAGCCTGTCTTTGCTGACTGCCTCTGAAAGCCACATGTAAGGAGCTGGCTGGACTCTTGGGACATCATGGCCAAAATCATGTTCCAAATATCCTAGGATAAAGTCCACAGAGACCACAGGCCACCTGGGCACAACCAAGAAAAGTTAGAGATAAACTTGAAGGTGATGTTTCAGCATCATCACACTGGATCCTGAATAAACCACAAGGTCTACCTCTGTCTCTCTGTTCCTCTTCAAACACAGTGGTCACGCAGAAAGAAAACTGTGGGTTACTTTTGTGGATCCAGTTCCCAAGCAATTCCATGGACTGCACTCAGCCCCCAGTGGAAGGAAACTGTATTTGAGAAATATTCAAATTCTGAGAATTAAGTCAGGCATGGTGGCACACAGCTTAGTCTCAGCTACTCAGGAGGCTGAGGCAGAAGGATAACTTGTGCCTAAGAGTTTGAGACCAATCTAGGAAATAGAGCAAGATCCTGGCTCAGAAAAATAATTAAATCTTTTCAAAATGAAAGAAAATTCTGAAGATTGTCATTTGATTTAATCTATGAAGAACTGCATCTTATGGCACCTGTAGAGAAACTTGAATAGCTTTATCCTCAAATGAACTCTGTAAGGGGTCTCTATTCATGTGTGAATTAGAAAGGAGGGTCTGACCTACAAGAAAGGGATTCTGCAAAGCTGCATCTAATGGAATGTCTGTCAAAAAATATAAAGACACCAAGTGCTACAATGGTACCTACAAATGTTGCCCAAACTTTGGGGGAAAAAAGTCTTTGAACATGGAATCTGAAACCAGCCATTTGACTTCCATTCTACCACATGGACACCGCATGGATGTTTTTACCACCTGTACCTAGCACAACAGGGGCAGGGTGGGAAGTCAGAAGGATTGGTTTTCAGAATGGTCACTTGGAACTGACCCCAAAGGGACCATATTGCATTTCATTGAGCAAAATGTGTAATTCCTTCCAATTCCTTCCCAGTTGAATTTCCATCCCTCTTCCCTCTCAAAAATGTCCCCAGTTTCTCTTACCTTAATTCTGGACCATCACCTGAGACAGAGCAAGAGTCTGTGGCTGGGTAAAGGTGGGCTTTGATGGCTAGAGCTGCCTGTCTGGCTTATTCTAGGGCAGCTCAGTGCTTCCGGAAGCAGGAGCTCAGGATCCTTACCCTCCCTTGGCTACTTTCTACCCCTCTAGCTGAGGCTGTGCAAGGCGTTTCCTGCTAGCTATCTATTAAGAATGCAGAAAATGCACTCCAACAAGTCAACCTGGTTGGGCACCTGCAGGAATGAGGAAAACTAATAGCTCTTTTTTTTCTTTCTTTTTGCATTAAAAAAAGTACTGTAATATTGTCTGGCCAACTTGTTGCTCAAAACCACACACGGGGTCAATAACAACTGAAACATCAGTTATGGGGCTTAGATCAAACTGATGTTATATTCCATCTTAGGAACTGAGAGTCAGTTTGGTTTATCTCTAGTTTCTCCTCTCCCCCTAGGAAAGCAAAGGGTAGTCCAGATCCCTAGATTTTCTGGACCTGTTACAGGCTTCTATGGAATGAAGAATCCTATGAACCTGAAATATAGGAAACCATTCAGGGATCCCATCAGGAGGCTGGAGCACGGGGATCCATCCTCTTCTCACCAAATGGCATCATCATTCAGGCCCCAAACCCCAGGGCCATTCCTATTCTTACTTCAACATTAATTCAACAAATATATTCCAGGAACTATTCTGAAAGGTCTGTTCTCAAGTGAACAAAACAGACCAAATCCTTACCATCACAGAATAAGTACTCATACACTGTATGTGTATATATATATATATACACACACATTCTATGTGTAATATCAGACAGTATTAAGTACTGTGAAGAAAATTAAGCAGACAAATGGGAATCAGAAATGCTTGGGTAGGGCACTAATGTAGAGAGGGTAGCCAAAAAGGTGATATTTGAGCAAAACCCTGAGGGAGAAATCCCTGTAGAGACCTGCTTTCCAGCTTTCCTAATCCCTGAGGGAACATCAAATGCAAAACCTGACATCCTGGATGGTCTGTTCACAGAACAGCAGACGCCAGTGTGGTTGAAGAAGAGACAGAGTGGGCAGAGGGAGGAGGAGCCAGAACCAAGGAGACCCCATCTGCCTTTGATTTCTCCTGTACATGAAAAAGAAATACACTGGAGGGTTTGGAGGGGCACATCAAGTTCTGTAAATTCTGCCTTTCAAGCGCCTTTCAAGCCGTTCTCATTACCTCCCTGTCATTACCCTAGTTCAAGTCCACATAATTTCTCCCCAGGACCACTACCA